ATTATCAGTTCTTCCTCTAGTTGTTACACTGGCTTCTACCTCCATCCAGGTGTCAGTGGCCAGCTGCCTCACCTGTAAGAGGGGCCAGTCCACAGCTGTGGCCCAGCGCACCCCTTCCTTGCTGGTGTATGAGTACTTAAGCGAATGCCTAAGGCCAGCCTGCATCTTCAGGGCTTCCCCATACTCACGTGGTATCTAGCATTCAGACCTCCCCTCCCCACATGGGGTCGATGGCCAGCCTGGGATTTCCTGTGGGGATGCCTCTTTCCCAAACCCCATTTCTTCAGTCTCCTGGCCAGATCACCACCTGTCAGGACACTCAGATCCAGGGAAAAGCCTCGAGACTAGAAATCTACCTCCATACGTGGGGGGCAGGTTAAGACCCAAGAAATAGGGTGCCACTCTAGTCTGGTAATTAATAGAATTTATTAAGGGAACTTACATGCGAGGTGCGTCTTGGGCAGTGGCGATGATGGGATTTCCTCTGCACTATGTGGCTGGTGCTAAGGGATAATGTGGGACAGGGCAGGATGGATGGAGTACCTGGGGCATGAACTCCCCCGGGTGCTCCTTACATCCTTGCCCAGGGCAGGGTGAGGGCCTGTCTCAGGAACCAGCATATCTGGGAAACAAATGTATAAGGCCAGCCAGCATCTTCCGGGCATCCCCACACGCACACAGTATCTAGCTTAGGGGCCACTCCTAAGTACATGGATCAGACGGTCTGCGGAGGTTATGGAAAGCAATCTCTGTTCAGCTCGGATCTGGCTGGATCCAGCTCAAGGAACAGCCTCTTCACACTTCGTAGTGTAGTTTGATAACAGGGAGCGTGATGCCTCACACTTTGTTCTTTCTCAAAATTTCTTGGACTATTCGGGAGTATTTTGTGGTTTCACATACATTTTAGGATTAGTTGTTCTAATTCTTAGGAGAATGGCACTGGTATTTTGATAGGGATTGCACTGAATCTGTATATTGCTTTAGATAGTAAGGATATTTTTACAATTTTAATCCTTCCAACCCACAAGCAAGTTATATTCTTCCACTTAGTTGTATCTTCTTCAGTTTCTTTCTTCAGTGTCATAGACTTCTGAGAACAGGTCTTTCATTCACCTCTTTGGTTAAATTTGTTCCTAGGTAATGGTGCAGTTGTAAATGGGATTGTTTTATTATTTTATTTTATTTTAAAATATATTTTTATTGATTTCAGAGGGGAAGGGAGAGGGAGAGAGAGAAACATCCATCGATCAGCTGCCTCCTGCACATCTCCTACTGGGGATGTACCCGAAACCCAGGTACATGCCCTTGACCGGAATCGAACCTGGGACCTTTCAGTCCGCAAGCCAACGCTCTATCCACTGAGCCAAACCGGTTTCGGCTAAATGGGATTGTTTTATTTTCTTTTCTTTTAAAATATATTTTTATTGATTTCAGAGAGGAAGGGAGAGGGAGAGAGAGAAACATCAATGATGATAGAGAATCACTGATTGGCTGCCTCCTGCACGCCCCCTACTGGGGATCGAGCCCACAACCCCGGGCATGTGCCCTTGACCGGAATCAAACCTGGGACCTTTCAGTCCACAGGCTCTATCCACTGAGCCAAACTGGCTAGGGCTGGGATTGTTTTATTAATTTCTTCTTCTGATTGTTCGTTATTGGTGCATAAAAAGCAACTGATTTCTGTATACAAGCAGTCCTCGGGTTATGTCGGACTCAACGTACGTCGTTTTGTGGTTACGTTGCCATCTCCCATTTGTTTATAAAAAAATTGTGTCATTTCAACGTATGTACATATGTGCTTTATGTTTTTTATTATTTATTTACCACAAGTAAAGGTCAGGAATTGTTATCTTTCTTTTAAATTTTTTTTACTGTTGCACTTCATTACTGCTGTGTATGTGCTCCATGTGAGTGACGTAGGTGCTTATGTAGGTGGGTTCCGACTTACAGCAAAAATCGCCTTATGTGGCGCCGTAGGAATGGATATCCGACTAACCCAAGGACCTACTGTATTGTTTCTGTGTCCTGCAACTTTACCAAATTCCTTTGTCAGGTCTTTATTTTTAAATTTTTATTTTATTGATTTTAGAGAGAGGGAGAGAAACATTGATTTGTTGTTCCACTGATTCATGCATTCATTGGTTGATTCTTTTAATATGTTTTTATTGTTTTTTGTTTTGTTTTGTTTTTGTTTTGTTTTTAGAGAGAAGGGAGAGGAATAGAGAGAGAGAAACATCAATTGGCTGCCTCCTGCATGCCCCCGACTGGGGATTGAGCCCACAACCTGGACATGTGCCCTGATTGGGAATCAAACCGGTGACCGCTTGGTTCATGGGTGGATGCTCAACCATTGAGCCACGCCGGTTGGGCTGTTGGGAGTTTTTTGATTACTGCTTCAATCTCATTGCTAGTAATTGGTCTCTTTAGATTTTGTTTTTCTCCCTGGTTCAGTCTTAGAGAAGGTAATTCTAGAAATTTTTCCATTTTTTGTAGATTGTCGAATTTGTTGGCATATAATTCTAGTATTCTTTAATTTATTCTTTGTATTTCTGTGGTGTAAGTTGAAACTTCTCTTTCATTTATGATTTTACTTATTTGGGCTCTTTTTTTTTCTTGATGAGTTTGGCTAAAGGTTTGTAATTTTCTGTTTTCTTTATTTCTTCTCTAATCTTAGCTATTCTCTTCCTTCTGTTTATTTTGGGTTTTGTTTGTTCTTTTTCTAGTTCCTTTAGGTGTAGAGTTAGGTTGTTTGTTTGGTATTTTTCTTGTTTCTTGAGGTTGGTCTGTATAGTTATAAACTTCACTCTTAGAATTGCTTTTGCTGCATCCCATAAATTTTGTAAAGTTGTGTTTTTATTTCCATTTGTCTCAAGGTTATTGTTGATTTCTTGTTTGATATCCTCTTTGACCCATTGGTTGTTTAGCATATTGTTTAGTCTCCACATATTTGTGTTTTTCCAGTTGTCTTCCTGTAGTTTTTTTTCTAATTTTATGCCATTATGGTTGGAAAAGATGCTTGATATGATTTTAATCTTATTGAATTTATTGATGTTTGTTTTGTGACATTTTGTGATCTATCCTAGAGAATGTTCTATGTACACTTGAAAAAATGTGTATACTGCAGTTTGGGGATTAAATGATCTATAAATGACTTTAAGTCAATCTCGTCTAATGTGACATTTAAAGCCAATGTTCCCTATTAATTTCCTGTCTGGATGATTTGTCCATTGATGTGAGTGCGGTATTAAAATCCCCTACTATTGTATTACTGTGGATTTCTCCCCTTATGTCCATTAAAAATTGCTTTATATATTTAGGTGGCCCTATGTTGGGTGCATAGGTTTTCACGATTATTATATCCTCTTGGATTGACCTCTTTATAACTATGTATTGTTCTTTTTTACAGTTTTTTTTTTTAAAGTCTATTTTGTCTGATATGAGTATTGCTACTCCATCTTTTTGTTTCTATTTGCATGGAATATTTTTTTTCCATCCCTTCACTTTGAGTTCCTATGTGTCTTTCAATTTGAGGTGAGTCTCTTAAAAGCAGCATATAGATGAGTCTGTTCCGCTATCTTTTTATTGGACCATTTAATCTATTTACATTTAATGTAATTATTGAGAAGTGTTTACTTATTGCCATTTTGTTCATTGTTTTTGGGTTCGTTCTTTCGCATATGCCCCTACTGGGGCCAGGGATGAACCTGAAACCCAGATACATGCCCTTGACTGGGAATCGAACCCATGACCCTTTGATGTGTGGGCCGACATCCTGACCACTGAGCAGCACCAGCCAGGGCATAACCATTTCTTTAAATATTTAATCGGATCACTTATCTTTGTTTTCTTAGGGTTTCTTTTTCCCCTGAAGATTTTTCATGTTTCTTCATTTAAGAGATATTTTGTCTTTTCATTTTGTTGACTTTCTATAATTGTTTATATGAATTAGAGAAAATAGTTCTCTCTTTCAGTCATGAAAAAGTGGCCTGATACAGAAGTGACCTCTGTATAGGCTGGGTGTGCTGGGTGGTTTTTGGAAGTCAATAGGCATCCACAGGCACTGGCCCACAGTGGCCTCAGGTTGGGAGGCCGGGTGGGTGTGGTGATGTCCTACTGTCCCTTTGTGCAGAGGCAGAGTAGTTGGGAACCGTTGTGGTAATCCCCATGGCCCTGTGGAGGTGGAGGGGATGTACGAAGGTGCTCCAGGCTCCTCTGCCCAGAGGGCTCCTGAGGCCCTCAGCCTTCTCTGTTCACCTCTTTCTCTTGTTTGTTGTCAGAAGCTGTTCATAGTCCTCAGTTGTCTCACAGAAATAACTGTTGTCTACTTACTGGTATATTTGCGTTTGGAATGGGAGGGGGCAAATTCCGCATTGCCCCATCTCAGACTCCCTGTGGAAGTGGTTTTTTTTTCTACATCAGTCTGTGTAGTTACTAAGCATGTGAAGAACTGAATATTTAATTGAAATGTAAACTAAGTGACTGTACAGGTGCAGTAGAGCCATGCTCTGCGGGAAGACAGCAGCTGTTTCCAACTGGTAACACGACTTCCACGTTGGAAAACGAGGGGAAAGAAGCAAATGAAACCCAAAGCAGGTGGTCAGGGAGAAATGTAAGACCATAATAGAGAAAAGAAACAGCAGGAAACCAACAAACCTGAAAGTGGGTCCTCTGAAAAGATAGTAGAACTTTAGCAACTTCTTGCAGCTCAGTGACCTGGAAAGGGCTCCCTTTTTAGCTGCCCTGAAATTGTGCATGTTCATAGCCACAAAACCAAAAAGTATTAACCCCCTCCCCCCGGTGCCTAAGCTTCCTTTGTGACCAGCCATGATTTTACCACTGTGCTAGCATTTGTGCTGCACACAAACCTTAGATGGGCCGTCTGCTGAGTTCGCCACTCCCTACTAGTGGCCCTTTCCAGCCTGATTCTATAACTGCAGAGAGGGGTCTGGGGGCAGCAGGCTGGGCCATCCCAGACCCTCACCCTGGCTTGGTCTCCCCAGGGCTCTTTCAAAGAGCTGGTTTACGTGTTCTTCATGATGAAAGATGCCGGCCTCGCCCCAGACCTGCTGTCCTATGCGGCCGCCCTGCAGTGCATGGGGCGGCTGGACCAGGATGCCAGCACCATCCAAAGGTGGGTGGGTGTCCTGGTGGTCCTGCCAGGAACACAGTGACTTGTTGGGCCTGGGAGGGTGACGTAGCCTCCGCTGGGGGCCCAGATTCTCTGCGGGACCTGATGGCCGCGTGGTGCTGAGACCTCTAGGTTGGTTGGGGGTGGCTCTGTGAGTTGGGGGTTCACCGTGTATCCCCCACAGGTGTTTGAAGCAGATGGCCCAGGATGGACTGCAGCTGCAGGAGCTCTTCACGAGCTTGCCACTGTGCAAGGAGGACAAGGCCGTACTCCTGAGGGCTGTGCGCAAGGCTGAGCCCACCTTCTTACCTCCGCAGCCGCCCCTGCCCTCGTTCGAGGTCAACACCTCCCCACTGCTCAAGGAGATCTACAGCACGGTGAGCTTCAGCCTGCAGGTGGGGTCCTATCACGTGCGGGCTGAGCGACGGTCATCCTGTCCCTATGGGGGCACCGGGAGCCTCAGCCCTCCCTCCCTTTATTTCTCCTCACTGAGCCGCCCGCATCTGTGGGACTTCCTCCCTGCTCCTCAGAGGTTGAACCAACTCAGAGTTGGCAAGCTCCTGGCCCCCAGCAGGGCCACCACCCCAGGGTTGAAGCTGGAAGGTGACAGAAGGAGGAAAAGCCACATGCACGTCGGGCACCACGGCAGTCACTGTCCTACTTGAGACTCAGCCGTACGCTGAGCACAGGAGTGGTAGCAGAGAGGGTGTAACTCATTCTAAAGCAGCAGGGGCAGCTGGTGGGGCAAGACCTCAGCACCGCTTCCCAGGACAGAGGACAGCACTGAGGGTGGATAACCACCGGGATGCCTTGGGTTCTTACTTGTTTTTATTGGGATGTAATTCACCAACTATACAGTTGACCTTTTAAAGCATAATTCAGTATTTTTTAGTAGGTTTACTTCTAATTCCAGAACATTCGATCATCCCCAAAAGAAATCCCAGCCTCCTAGCAACCATTAACCCACTCCCTGCCTCTGTGGATGTGCCTGTCCTGGACATTTCACATAAATGGACTCACACTGTGCGGCATTTTGTGTCTGGCCTCTCTCACTGAGCATCATGTTTTCCAGGCTCATCCGTGTTGTAGCGAGTGTCAGTGTCTCACTCCTTTTCATGGTTGAGTAATACAGGGCGGGGCAAAAGTAGGTTTTCAGTTGTTCGCATGGAGAACAATATAATAAATAAGAATAAAACCTGTATTCACAACTGTAAACCTACTTTTGCCCTACCCTGTATGGTAGTGTGTGGATGGACACTTGGATTGTGTCCACTATTTGGCTGTTGTGAATCACACTGCTGTGAGTGTGCATTTACAAGTGTTTGTGGGTTTGTTTTTTGTTTGTTTTTTAATATATTGATTTTTTACAGAGAGGAAGGGAGAGGGATAGAGAGTTAAAAACATTGATGAGAGAGAAACATCGATCAGCTGCCTCTTGCACATCCCCCACTGGGGATGTGCCCGCAACCAAGGTACATGCCCTTGACTGGAATCGAACCTGGGACCCTTCAGTCCACAGGCTGACGCTCTGTCCACTGAGCCAAACCGGTTAGGGCTGTTCGTGTTTTTTAAAAATATCTATATCTATCTATCTACATGTATATATATAGTGATTTAAAATATATATATATATATATATATATATATATATATATATAGTGATTTCAGAGAGGAAGGGAGAGGGAGATGGATGGAAACATCAATGATGAGAGAGAAACATTAATCGGTCGCCTCCTGCACGCCCCTTACTAGGATTTGAGCCCACAACCCAGGCATGTGCCCTGACCAGGAATCTAACCATGACCTCCAGGTTCATAGGTTAAAGCTCAACCACTGAGCCATGCCAGCTGGGCAAGTGTTTGTGTTTTTTATTCTTAGCATGTTGGGTTTTGCTATTTTTAATTTATCTATTTTGAGGCAGGTCACACATTCAGGCTGTTCAAGTTTATAAAGCAAAAAGTGATATCCAGGAATTTGAATTGCCTTCTTGGGCTGTCCAGCACCTAGCCCAGTGAGGCCAGGCAAATACAGAGCTTCTTGTTTTTAAACCAGTGTAGTTATTGTTCACGCTGTTCTGCACCAGCCTTTCCCCTGTGATGTGCAGGATGGATGATTCTCAGGAGACTTGGAGAAACGGATGTGATCTGCAAGGGTGGGCATTCTGGGCAGCGCAGGGCGGGCAGCTGCTTGTCTCTACCTTGGCTGTGGACGAGTTTTGCCTGTGAGAGATGCGGGTCTGCAGGGCAGGCACCCGGGGCCTCACCACCTGCCTGTCCCCACTGGCAGGACCACCCTGCGTCCTACCCAAAGCAGCACCTACCCTTGGAGACGCTGAAGGACCTGTTTCAGCAGCAGCTCAGTGTGGAGATGGCCACCATTGTCACTGTGGACTCCGTGGAGAAGGCCCCGTCGCTGACCGAGGAGGTCCTGCAAGCGGTAAGGGACCCAGCTATGCTCAGGTTCCTGCTCGGCTAAACCAGGCGTCCCCTGGTCTGGGCGTGCTGCCTGCTGTGCCGCATCCCCTCCTCCCCACCCTGCAGCTGTCCTGCCCTTCCCTTTCACTGAGCTGAGGTCACCGTGTGCTTCTCACTGCTAGAGAAGAGTGCTCAGCAGCTACTTGGTTCACCTTGGCACCACCTCCTGGTGGACTCCTCCTGGGAGCCTGGGAGCACTGGGCTCATCGGGCACCGTGGTGATCCTCATTTGTACCCTGCCCCACAGCGAAAGACCCTGCAGGAGCTACGCACCCGTTGGGAGGCAGAGCTGTGCCTGGCGCTGCAACAGACAAAGGCCAGAGAGGCCCAAGCTGCCCGCGAGGGCCGCCCCTCACTCTTCCCGTACCTGTGCCTGCTCAGCGAGGGGGAGCTGACGCAGCTGATGCTGCAGGTGGGCAGAGTGGGGACGGGACAGGAAATGGGGGGTGGGTAGAGTGTGGGCACCTGTGGGGCAAGGGGCTTACAGCACCACCATCAGACCTTGCAGGTGCTGTCCCAGCAGGGAGAGTCACTTCTCTCCCTGGCACAAGAGCTGGGCATGCGCATCTTCAACCGACACGTGGTGCAGAGGAAGCAGCTCAATGATGAGGTGCAGGCACTGCAGGAGCGCTATTTCAAGTACCTACACCTGCTGGCATCGGACACACAGGTAAGGTCTGGAGGGGGGTGGAATGAGGAGCTGCTCCTGGGCCTGGGATTTGGGAGTTCCTCAGGGGTAGGGAGCCTAGTGGGCTTCCAGGTGGGGAAACTGAGGTCCCCCTACTCCCCTCCCTCCCACCCTGGGGCAGTTGGTTATGCCCCCAGTCCCTGCCACTTTCTGGCTGCCCCCACCTTGTTTCCTCATCTGTAACTTTGCACCTGCGGGGGTGGCTGGGAGTGAGCTCTCTGCCCAGCCCCCTGACCATGATGCTGCCCACAGGTGGTGATGTCCCGTTTGCCACGGCAGCATTGGGAGGCACTGGGGACAACTGAGGCCTCCCAAGACCAGCCCTGGCCCTTGACTGTGGTGGTGCAGCTGGGCAAACAGCTGGCTGAGGTGCTTGTGCAGACAGTGAAGATGCCCAGCAACCTGGCCCAGCAGCAGGACACCCAGAAGCTCATCCCCGTCCTCTACCATGTGTACTCCTTCCAGAGCTTTCGCCAGGTAAACTGACGGGAAACTGGCTTCTGGGCCTAGCGAGCCCTCCCCTGTATCCAGGGGCAGAAGGCACTTAGAGTGTGGGGGTCTGAGATGAGGCTGGGGCTCAGGGTGGTGGGGTACTATGGAAATCCTCTGTCATGGACTGATCTCAGGATAAGGCATCTGATGGGGGCTTGGGGCCCTCTGCCTGCTGCTTGCCTTTGGGGCAGTTGACTCCTTGATTGGTGTCTGCCATTCTGACCCCCAGATTGGGATCCTGAAGCCACATCCAGCCTTCATACAGCTGCAGGAAACTGCGGCCGAGCGCACAATGACCTTTGAGTCAGCCGAAGTGCCCATGCTGTGCCCGCCACTGCCCTGGACTTCGCCACACTCAGGCGCCTTCCTGCTGAGCCCCACCAAGCTGATGCGCTCTTTGGAGGGCACCATACAGCACCAGCGCCTGCTGGAGGGCTGCCCACCCACTGAGCTTCATGGTGCCCTGGATGCCCTCACCCAGCTGGGCAACTGTGCCTGGCGTGTCAATGGGCGAGTGCTGGACCTGGTGCTAACCATCTTCAATGCCAAGGGCTGCCCCCGCCTGGGCGTGCCATCCCCTGCCTCTGAGGCACCCCGCCCATCCAAGCACCGCCTGCCAGCCAATGCCTCTCCGGAGCGCAAGACCGAACTGCGGCGGGAGCTGGCACGCTGCCTGAAGGTGGCACGGGAGATGCATAGTCTGCGGACCGATGCGCTCTACCGCCTCTCGTTGGCCCAGCACCTGCGGCACCGTGTCTTCTGGCTGCCTCACAACATGGACTTCCGAGGACGCACCTACCCCTGCCCACCCCACTTCAACCACCTGGGCAGTGACCTGGCACGCGCCCTGCTGGAGTTTGCCCAGGGCCGACCTCTTGGCCCCCATGGCCTTAACTGGCTCAAGATTCACTTGGTCAACCTCACCGGGCTCAAGAAGCGTGAGTCACTGCAGGCACGCCTGGCCTTTGCTGATGAGATAATGGACGACATCCTGGACTCAGCCGACCAGCCCATGACGGTAGGGGCGGCCTCCTCCCTCTGTCTGTATCTTGGCCTGTCCTCACTCTGCTCCCGCCACCTCAGCACCCGCCTAGGACACCCTCTAGGCAGCCCCACCTCTAGGCCAGAATCAATAACCCCAGCCCCCCGAGTCTTCCCCTTGGGACAGACCTTTTTTTCTGGCCTTTTCCTTTGCCCCAGTCCACCGGCCACCTCCCACTCTGTGGTAGCGCTCTTTCCATCCCCATCTCACGGCTGCTCACTCAGGGCTGGGCCCGGTCTCCCTCCGTGGTCCATCACTCCTGTCCTCACCTTGCTGTCCCAGAGGCTCTCTCTCAGCCTCCTCGTGTCCTCACATCACCAGGGCCAGCCCAGCTCCCATCCTTGCTCAGGAAGCCCCATCCCACTGACCCCAACCCAGCCTCACCCAGCCCACTGCCCTCCTGCAGGGCCGGAAGTGGTGGATGGAGGCAGATGAGCCCTGGCAAGCCCTGGCCTGCTGCATGGAGATTGCTCGGGCTGTGCGTGCCCCCAACCCTGCCGCTTACATCTCCCATTTCCCCGTTCACCAGGTGAGTTGGTTGGGACCCTGGTGTGGAGGGGGACTACCAAAGTTGTCTCGAGTCTGAGGTTCCGCAGGACAGTGTAGGCATCTAGCTGGTGTCTCTGTGTGGGGGCCAGCCCCAATGCGTCCACCGGGGCTTGTACTGTGGCCTCATGCAGGCACATTCCCTGTTTCATGTGCCTCAGTTTCCCCTTTGTGGTGGGTTAACAACACCTGCCCCTAAGAATTGGGGTCCAGCAAGCTGGCAATACGAGCAGAGTGCTGGGGGAGCACAGAGCTGTGGTTCATTGCCAAGGATGCTCCTGCCAGCCCTGCCCAGACCCCTCACCTTCTCCTCCTCACCCAGGATGGCTCCTGTAACGGCCTGCAACACTATGCTGCCCTGGGCCGGGACAGCGTGGGGGCTGCCTCTGTCAACCTGGTGCCCTCAGACGTGCCACAGGATGTGTACAGCAGCGTAGCAGCACAGGTGGGCACCATGGCCCCCTAACCTGTTCTCATCCCCAAAGCCTACCTGCGGTCTGTCCTGTGAATACCTGTGTGTTGCCAACCCCATGGCCTCTCCTGTTGTATGTGATGTGACTGGGCAGTCAGGGTAGGCTTCCCAGGGGAGGTGTCAGAAGGGGGAACTGTGAGGCCAACAGAGAAGGGACCTCATGGGGGTGCTGCTGGTAGGGTGGGTGGGCCCAGACAGGGAGGCAGGCAGAGGGTCCTGGGGTCGACCTACTGACTGCCAGCACCTGCCCAGGTGGAGGTGTTCCGCAGGCAGGACGCTGAGCGGGGTGTGCAGGTGGCCAAGGTTTTGGAGGGTTTCATCAGCCGCAAGGTGGTCAAGCAGACGGTGATGACCGTGGTGTATGGAGTCACCCGCTACGGGGGCCGCCTGCAGATCGAGAAGCGCCTCCGGGAGCTCAGCGACTTCCCCCAGGTGTGCAGTTTTACCCCACATCCAGCCTGCAGCTTCCCCTGCTGGGCAATTGGCTGCTGGGCAGCAGGCAGCTCTGAGGGAGGGGCTTGTTTCCCCCCACTGTGGGGTGAGGGGGGAGAAGGGGAGGGATCCAGAGGAGCAAGCTATCTTCTTGGGCCCTCAGGCCTTGGTTTCTACACCTGAAAATGGGGGTGTGGACTTCAGGTATCTGGGACAGCCTTGTGAGATCACCTGGCCCTGGGCTGTGGAGTGGGCACAGAGGCTGCCCCTCCCCTCCAAGCTTGCCCCACCACTTCTGTGCCCTGCCGTCCCCAGGAGTTCGTGTGGCAGGCCTCTCACTACCTTGTGCGCCAGGTGTTCAACAGTCTTCAGGAAATGTTCTCAAGCACTCGGGCCATCCAGGTATGTCCTCCTCCTCCTTCCCTTCCCAGGGTGACTTCCCAGACTGGGCCCCACACTGAGCCTGTGCCCATCCCTGCAGCGCTGGCTGACGGAGAGTGCCCGGCTCATTGCTCGATCCGGCTTGGCTGTGGAGTGGGTCACCCCCCTGGGCATCCCCATCATTCAGCCCTATCACCACGACTCCAAGGTGTCGGTATGTATGGCCCCCACCTCCATGCCCACCCCCACCTGCACCCCAGTTGCCAGGGCAGGCCTCATGCCCCATTCTCCTTCCACCCCAATCCCACAGATCAGTGGAGGGATCCAGAGTCTCACCTTCTGCAGCAGTGGGGACACCAACCAGTGAGTGCAGAGTTGGGGGTTAGCTGGACTGAGAGACAGCTGGGTGAGGACTGGGGTGGGGGTGGGGTGCTGACCAGGGTAGAGGTACTGGGTCCTCTACCTGAGCATACCCCAACCCCACACACAGGAAGCCCAACACACTGAAGCAGAAGAATGGTTTCCCACCCAACTTCATCCACTCCCTGGACTCCTCACACATGATGCTTACAGCCCTGCACTGTTACAGGTAGGTCCTACATCTGCACAGCACACATTCATTAACCACCTGCAGGCAGGCCTGGTGCTGGGGACATGGGGGAGACCCTTAGAGTGTGGGAGACAGGTTGGAAGCCATTCCTGCAGGTGGGAGTTGGGGCAGAGACCTACAGCAGGCGGGGAACCCAGCCATGTGAGTCTGTTGGGCCTGGTGCCCAGATCATTGTGCAAGCATGTGCATGGCCCTGGGGCAGTAAGGTCTAAATGAAGGGGGAGTGGGGGCCATGGAGGGAAGGGGTAGTTCCTCTGAGTGTAAAGCTGGCCCTGGAGGTCCCTGTGACCCCATCCACCCAGGTGAGTGCAGCCACACACTGCATGGCGAGGTCTAGGGGCTTGCGTTGTCATGTCAGGTGCATGGGCCTTGTGGCAGCTGCAGAGCTTCTGGTTTCCTGTCCTGAGCCCCTCAGAGACGGTGAACCTGTGGTAATGGGGCAGGTGTGTGGACAGTTCTGTTAGAAATGACCATTAAAGCCTTGGCCGGCATGGCTCGTTTGTAGCATCATCCCATGCACATACCTGGGTTGCAGGTTCGATCCCCCATAGGGATGCATGTGTGAGGCAATTGATTGATATTTCCTTCTCTCTCTCTCCACCTCTCCCTCTCCCTTTCTTCCCTCTCTAAAATCCATTTTTTAAAAATTGGAGGGTTGGCTGGGCTGAGCTTAGGGGTCAAGGGCAAATTCTGTGCTCCCATCCTTCCCCTGTGCATGATGAAGCCCTGTGGTGGGTGGTGGGGTTGGGGGACAGCACTCTCTGGTCCCTGCAGGGAGCTGAGAATCAACCAGGCCGCAATTGGGGGCAGGTTGAAGAGGATGGGGAGCAGAGTTCCATTCTAAGATGAGAACTTTTTATCTGTATGCTGAGGGGACAGTTGCAGGAATGGGGGGGCGGCGCGCATGAGGAGAGAAGAGGGTGGTGGTACATCACTGGACTGAGCCCCCTAGACCAGTGTTCAGGAGCTGGGCCCTGAGTGGACATAGAGGGCTGGCCCCTCCTCATGGAAGCCCCTCCTCTGCTGCAGGAAGGGCCTGACCTTTGTCTCCGTGCACGACTGTTTCTGGACCCATGCAGCTGATGTCGCCATCATGAATCAGGTGCCTGCCATGTCCCACCTGCCCAAGAATGGACACCCCTGGTCCCATGGCTCACTCCATGTGGGACCTTGAACCACAAAGCTTCCGTCTGGCTTTTGGTCCCAGTGCCCACTCAGGTGTTGGGGCAGGGGGTGGTGACCCCATCCCTCAGGCCCTTGTTCCCAGCTCCTGAAGCAACCCCCTCATCCCCCAAGGTGTGCCGTGAGCAGTTTGTTCGCCTGCACAGCCAGCCCATCCTGCACGACCTGTCCAGGTTTCTGGTGGAGCGGTACTGCTCTGGCCCCAGGTGAGACATCCTCACCCCCTGTACTTTCCACCCCCCCCCCCCCATCCTTCCTGGACCTCACTCTCCACTCTCTCCGCTTCAGGTCCACCAATGCCCAAGTTGCCAAGTTGCAGGAAATGCTACTGTCAGTACCCAAGACAGGTAAGGCCATGGGCAGGGGAGGGATGTCCCAATTGCCGGCTGGGGGCTGGGCCTTTCTAGTCCATCCCAGGACCAGGGTTCATGGTCTTCCTGCTCTGTTCTGCAGGGACCTTCGACCTGGACCAGGTAAAGCACTCAACGTACTTCTTCAGCTGATGCAGGCCCACCGGGCTGTCCCTGGGGCCCTCTGTACCATAGTGTAAATAAAGCTCTGTTGCTACCTAGGGGAGCGCTGCCTTCTGCAGGGAGAGGGTGTGTGCTGCCCTGCCGTCTGTGGGCTCCCGGCAAGCAGATGCGGGCAGGCTGGGCGCCAATGCTGTCGTTTATTGCGCGGAATGGGGGTGTGGAGGTTAGTGGGGCCTGGGGGGTGTGGTGGGAGCATTGCTGCCTCGGCTAGTCAGTACATTCATCACAAAGGCGGGGAATCCCCAGCCTTGCCCCCACACCCAGGTGTAGCCAGGACTGCCGACCCCTGGGCGCTGGGTGCTGGAGGGTGCTGCGTGTGCCCACTCCAGGGAGGTCACCGCGGGGCGCGCATGGACGGGGCGGGGCCGGTTATTGCGTGAGTGCGATGTGGGCAGCAGGGAAGCCAGCAGGCCAAGTATTGCACTTAAACAGAATCCTCATCGGACAGCGGGCCAGCTACGAGGGTGGGGGTGGGCGGAAGTCCACAGCTATCTCCTTTCGGCCATGGGGTGGCTCCCTCCCTGTTTCACAGTTGGGGAAACTGAGGCACCGAGGTGAAGGGAGCCCCCTCACATGCCTGTGAGGCTACCACCGGGATGCGGGGGCAATGTGGGTGGGCGCAGGGTGATGAGGGGGGACGGCAGGGGCCCGTCCGTCCGACTACAACTACCTACGTCTCCTCTATGGCTTCTGGGGTGGGTGGCCGGGGCAGCGCAATGGCATGGCTTTGGTTTGGATGAAGGCCCCGCCCCTGGCCCACCCGGGCCCGTGGGGCGGTGCAGCGAGGGTCACAAGTTGGACGAAAGGCGCGAGCGCGCCGAGTCCAGCGGGTCGAGGCCTCCTGTGACACTGGGCAAGGCCGAGTCCCTGCGGTCCGGGCTGGGCCCAGCGGCCCGTGTGGTGGATATGGGCCCCAGGCGTGGCGTGGAGCTGCTGGCTGGACGCGCGGAAGCTGCGGGGCCAGGGCCCGGAGCGCCGTGGGGCAGCGAGGGCTGTGAGGCAGACAGCGGGCGCGAGGCGCGGCTCAGGCGGCGCGCTGGAAGTGCGGGCCCCGCTCGGGGTGCAGCTGGAGAGCAGGGTGCGCCGCCATAGGGCGAAGTCCGTGGTGCCCGGGGACTGGCAGGTGCGCCCGGGGGACTAGCAGCAGGTGGGGGCCCTGGTGAGGCAGTGGCAGCAGGCACAGGCCCCGGGGGCAGGCGCCGCACAAGGCGGGGCGAGCTGAGTGCCAGTGGCCCCACAAGTGGGCGTGCCACCTGTGGGCAGAAGCTCATGGCCACGGCCTGCTGCAGCGTGGCAATGGCCGAGGTGACCTGCGGCGGTGGAGGCGGCGGGAAGAGGCCCACACGCTGGCCCAGCTCAGCCTGCTGCACCATCTCCCGATCATACTTGACGATCTCCTGGATGATGGCGTTCTCCTGGTTGTTGAACACGCCTGAGTTGAGGTCGTGTTGTACCTTGTGCAGCAGGATCGAGTTCTTCTTGCCTGGGGACAGGGGAGTTGTCAGTGCACAGGGGAGCGCCTCCTGCATACAGTGAGTGGGTGTGTCCAGTAGGCATACTGCTGCACGTACTGAGCACCTCCTGCATACATCAACCAGGTATTGGGCACCAACGCTACAACCAATAGGCACAGAACACCTGCATAAAGCAAGCAGGTAAGGCACCTACTCTTTAGAGCCAGTACACATACACCTGTGTGTATTGCAGGCCTCCTGCATACAGCCAACAGGTATTCTCACCTACTCTCTACAGCCTGTACTTACACAGATGTATAGCGAATGCCTCCTGTATACACCAAGCATCATGTATCGGGCACCTACTCTCTATAGCCTGTATGCAAAGCATACCGCAGGCACTACTGAGCACCTCCTGCATACAGTGATAAGTATATTGAGTGCCTCCTGCATATAACAAGCAGGTATTGGCACCTACTCTCTATTGTATTTGAAAGCCTCCTGTATACAAAGGGATGGTACAAGTATCTGCTGTGTATGGGAAGCAAAAATTGAGAACCTCTGTATATAGCAGCTATGCATGATCTATATACAAACAGGAATCAAGCACCTGTTGTGTGTAGCAAGCGAAGAGCACCTGCTGCATACAATAAAGCAGGTATGAGACACCTATGTAAACTGCCAGCATACATGGAGCATTTCCTGTATGTGGCAATCATGTATTGAGCACCTATAGTATACAGCAACATACCCAGAATATCTGCCTGTTCACAGCCAGAGTGCCAAGTGTGTAACATATAATAGGCATGTGTTGAATGCCTGCTGTATATAGCAAATAAGTCCAAGCACCTGTCACAGATATGTTAAATACCTACTGTATAGAGCAAATTGTTGAGTGTCTTTTGTATATAAACGTGTAAAAGAAAAGTCCTCCCTCTAACCCCTCTCTACCCCATCCAGTCCTGCCTTTTCAGCCATTGTCTTTATTCCCACAAATAGCAGCAAGGGCCACTATCTCCCTGCCTCTAGTTGGCAGCCAGTCCTGAGGGCTCCACATCCCAACTATTCCTGAGATTCCCTCCACTTCACCTTACACCCAAGGCTACTATGTACCACCCACCTGTCTACCTTGTAGAATACAAATTTGGTCGGGTCCTCCCCTGCCTAGAATTGTCTGTGGCTCCCTATTGCTCCTGATTTATAGTCCAAATGTCTCCCCCTCCCCCGCAACTGCCCACTAGGCCCTGTGTGCCTGGGTTCTTGCCTACCTCCCCAGCCTCCCTCCTCTCAGCTTCCCTGGCTCTCTGGACTCCAGGCTCTTACCTCAGGGCCCTTGTGCATACTGCATCCATGTGTAAAGGACAGGCCTTCTCATCCTAGCAACACCTACTAATGCTGGTTCCCACTTAGCACCTCCAGGAAGCCCCGCCCCTCCCACATGCCCTCTATGGTGCGAGCTTCCTGAGGGCAGCGCCAGAGGCATCCTCACGGCCCACCAGCCACACCTCCTGGCACACGGTGGGTGCTCAGCAAGTGTTTGCCAAATCATCAGAGTTCTGCACAACTGGCAACACCCCACACTCTTCCTTCCTTGGGAAACCAGGGCTGTGTTTGGCCAGGGGAGAATGCCAGTCGGAATCAAGTTTCCTGTGGGTCATCTAGGCCACGCCACCTCCCACCTCGGCACAGTTTCTCCTAGGACCACAGCCAGGCCCACTCACCGATGCGGTCCAGGCGGTCAATGGCAACGGTCTCGAAAGCCCGCCGCATCATGGGGTACTCCTCCAGCACCTCGTTGAAGTTGTCCACACTCAGTGAGTAGAGGCGGCAGTAGGTGTCAGCTCGCACGCTTGCTGTGCGCCGGCCGCGCGTTAGCAGGCAGATCTCTGTGTATAGTCAAGGGAGGCACCTCAGGGGCTGGGCAACACCCAGCTGCACCCATTCATCCCTGGGGTGCTCCCAGCTGCCCTGAACACGGTCTGGCCTACCCTCTGCTGATGTGGCCCTTCTGGTCAGAGGTCCTTCCTGCCGACACCTCGAGGCCTCCCCACATAACCCTCCATCCCCAGGAAGGGTCCAGCTTTGTACTGCCTGTTCCCTGGTCCCCACAGACACTAACCCCCGAAATAGGAGCCATCGGACAGCTTCATCTCCTTGTTGCCCTTGGTGAGCACACTGACCACGCCATGCTGTATGAAGTACATCTTCTTGCCAATGGTGCCTTCACGGATGATGTAGTCACCTGGCTGGAAGACCTCGAACTTGAGTTTGGTCAGCATGGCTGTGACAAAGTTGGGGTCAGCATTGGCAAACAGTGGCATCGAGGCCACCAGCTTCCGGCAGTTGAAGTTCACAATCTCCTGTAGGGGCAGGAGGCAGGGTTGACATCAGGACATAGGTTGCGCTCTTGCTTCCATCTCAATCTACCTTTGGGACTTGTTTCACCTCAGTTTCTTCGCCTTTTACTTAACGGACAAATACTAGAGGTTTTGCCACCAAAGAATGGAGCGAGAGCCAGGCCAGTGTGGCTCAGTGGTTGAGCATTGACCAATGAACCAGGAGGTCAGGGTTCCATTCCTGGTGAGGCATATGCCCGGGTTGCAAGCTCGAGCCCCAGTGTGGGACCTGCAGGAGGCAGCCGATGATTCTCTCTCACCATTGATGGTTTCATCTCTCCCTTTCTGAAATCAACAAAAATATATTTAAAAAAAAGAATGGATCAAGAAAATACATACACTGTTCCCTATAATTTACCACTGTATTGGCAATGGTGGCCATGAGACAAGAAAAAGCAATTGCAGACATAAAAATTGGAAAGGAAAAATTAGAACTCTCTCTTTACTATCTCCTTTAATGTGACTGCCTAGAAAATCCTCAGGAATCAATAGAAAGCTATAATGCAAGTTAGTCATACTAGCAAGTGATAGAAAAATAAACAAAGCCCTATCCAGTTTGGCTCATTGGATAGAGCGTCAGCCTGTGGACTGAAGGGTCCTGGGTTCAATTCCAGTCAAGGGCACATGCCTGGGTTGCAGACTTGATCCCTACAAGGGGGTGTGCAGAAGGCAGCCAATCAGTGATTCTCTCATCATTGATTTCTCTCCCTCTCCCTTCCCCTCTGAAATCAATAAAAATAAATAAACATAAAAACTAAGAACATTAAACCAACGTGGAAGAAGTCAGGTTGACAGTTAACCTTGACAAAAAAGCTGGGAGACTTA